GACAGAGAGAGATGTTGTGCGAGTAACCAAATTTAATATCTAATTACAGCTCTATTTTAAAGAAAGGAGCAGTTATAAATTATAAACAAATTTGACTGCCATTTTAATTTGGCAATTACCTAAGTTACCTAGAATCTAAATTTTAGATTTTTAAGGTATTAAAGTCTTTAACACATCGTTTAGATATGTAGGGAAAAAATTTAATAAATTAATATTTATGTCTCTAATACTGAACAGTCTCCAAGTACCAGTCAATTGCGTAATTTCTTTCTTACTTCAAGTGTTTACACTAAATCTGACTTTTTTAAAAAATTTATTAAAACAGTCTAAGGTTTGTCAGAAGTTTAATTTAGGTGTTTTAAATAAAAAATATGAACTTAGAAAACATCAACTAGGAATTAAAGTATGAATGGATATAATTTGTTTCCTCCAAAATGGATACAAACGCAAATTTAATAAGCTATTTTAATAAATAAAAAGACAATGAAATGCATGATTAAGCTAACATTTGTTTTTGATTTTTATAATTGAGAGAAATCCAAGCGAAGGTTATTTAGAAGAAGGTTATTAAAATTGAAAATAAGCATTCACTTAAGCAGTGTATAATTTATCATAGGACTTTTAAATGACATTCTAATATTACTTTAAAAATTTTATTTACCTTCCATTTCTTGACGCAAAAAAAAACGCTTTTAGTTTATGTAAACTCTTGAATGAACAGTTTCGTACGTATATTATGAATGTAAACGAAATGATATTCAATTAAAAAGACAAATCATTCTACATTTGAGAACCTGATAATATTAAAAAATATCACACGTAATTGAAAACAGATCGAGAGATTATTAATCCTTTAAAATATTTTTTAAATGTTTGTTTTTATTCAGAATTTCATAACTGCTCATAATTGAAATAGAGGCACTACTGATTTTTTAAATTTATGCTTTAAAAATATGCGCTTGTAATATAAGTTAAATATGAATAATTTAGTTTGTTTAACATAAGATATGAATTTATATTAACAACGCTTATTTTTTGAATAACTCACAGTTTCTTTATCGCCTTGAACAACATCGTTTTTTTTTCTAATTTTTTGAAACAGTACAATATACGCACAAGAGATTTCAACTAGAAATAATGTGAAGACCTTTTCTTTTTAAGTACATATGCACTAATGCTGGACAGTGATTCGCTGAATTTTGGACCAATAAAAAATGTTTGCTAGATAATTTTCAATATCCTTTTGTTTAGAAAGGCAGGATTTAATAAAATATTTTTTTAAAGAAATGTATCAATTAAATTAACTTCAATACAAAACAAGTTCTCAGAAAATAAAAGCACTATGAAGTTGATAGTAAATTTTGCTAGAAAAATTTATAAAACTAGAGAATTAAAAGTTTTGTTTAATGAAAGAAATTTTTACATAGGTATTTTAACAAGCATTTTCAAATCATTTAAATTTTTAAACTTAAAAATATGCTGATAATATGTTGAAAATTATGAACTATTCTACATAATTTTTAGTTAGAGTAAAAGAGCTCCCTATTGGTTAAAAAGATGATTTTTTCAAATTCTTTGAAATATTATTTATGCTTTTTTTTACCAAACACTTCTAAATTTATAAAGCATTGAAAAGAATACACTTAGGATGTAAGAAAAGTCATGAATTAATATTGAGTAACAAAGAAACATGTGCATCCTTTGCAAAATTCTAGTTTTTTTCTTACGATTTTTTTATTTTTGTTTTGCAATTCTTTGAAAAACTGATCTGCTCTGAATTATAAGAGGGTTTTACTTGTTTTGTTCACCTCTTCTAAATGAGCTAGATTCCTCTTACCATAGTTACAGAAAAAATTTGTTTTGCAACATTTTATAGATGAAATCAGGATTCTTGCATCAGTACTTCCATTAACGTTATCAATCATGAAGAAATTTAAACAAATAATAAAGCATTTCACCTACAGCATACTTCATAACTATCGAAGTTTAACGAAACGAAATTCCATTAACTATTTTCTTTTCAAATCCTTTAATAGTTTTTATGCCAAATGAGTTACAGAGAAAAATATATTTTTAAAAAATACATTGATCTTCTACATGGTTTTTAGTCAAGACATTTAAATCAAAATATTTTGAATCAATAACTGTAATCAAGGCAACGCTGTAATGACTAGTTGCCCAAAAATATGCATATTTAGATTAAATCTTAAACGTGCAAAATACAATCAAATACAAAATTTCATCCATACAAAATTTCAAAATTCTTACACCCAATAAAAAGTATTATAATATTCACAGATTTTAGCATTTCCCAAAAATTCATTAACACTTTAAATGCCACTCTAATTTTACATGGCTTGCCCGTCTGACCAAACGGTAAATAACTACAAACTAAATTTACAAATATTAGACACATTTTGCTAGTTTTTTAAAAGGTTCAGCATGACATATCTGAAAAAGGTGGTGAATTTTATAAGCCTACGAATTGTTCAGAAATAGTGGTGGATAAAAATCTACTCAATTGAATTTATTAAACCAGGAATCTCAATTAATAACCTACCACTTGAAAATATTTATTCGCTGTAAACATTGAGCGCCAAAATGTCCAACTAGTAGTTCGAATCTTTAATGAATTTATAGTCAAAGCCTTGTTGGAGTTTGGGGAGAAACAATCCTTAAATTATTATCAAGGAACTGCTGCATTTATAGAAATAATTCTTCGCTGGTGGTGGGTGGAAAATGTGAAATCTTCTGATAAGGGTATAAGACTAAAAAATGTATATATGTATCCTCTTACAAGCTTACCCAAGGATGAGAGAAGGTGTTTTTTAAAACAGTTCATTGATTGGCTTGATGTGTGAGAAAATTCAGGCTGCAGCACCGGAACTTTAACGAAAGAAACTCATCGTGCTTTGAATCATACGTGTAGAGCAATATTAGATTTAACTGATTACTGCAGTAATCAGCTAAAAATGAAATACATTTTGTCAGGAAAATTGCAATCAGATGCATTAGAAGAACGTTTTGGAAAATATCGAACACTAGCAGGGTCTCAGTATTCTGTTTCAATACGGCAGATTTTTGAATCTGAAAGTAAATTGCGAATGCAAAATTTTTTGCCATTGACTTTAAAGTCATCCAAGTTTGGAGAATTTAGAATAACACAATTTGATATTGATGTCACAGAATGTCATGAGCATATTTCTGAAAATGTCAACATACCTATCACTGATATTGATATCACAAATTTAGATGATAAACTACCAATTTTTGTATATATGGCTGGGTATTGTATTTATCAAATATGTAAAAATTTGAAGTGTGTTTCTTGTGAAAGTCAACTGACCATGGACAAAGAATTGGCAGTTGATGATTGTTATAAATTAATATCTTCCATGAACAGGGGAAGTTTGAAATTCCCTAATTCTAACGTAATCAGAATTGTGTGCTTTTCGTATGCAGTTGCAGAAAAACTTCTTTCACCTTTGCATGAAAAACAATTTCTTGCATTTAAACACCAAAGGCTTTTCATGACAAATTTGATTATGAACTTGTTAACAGATTTTGAAGTTTTTAATGATGTTGATGTGTGCTCATCAGGTCACGTTGCTGAGCTGATCGTCAAAAAAATAATTTGGACTACCGCTAACATGTTACTTAAAAATTATTGTTCTAACAAAAATGATGTGGTTAAAAAAATTTCTCAAAATTGCAAATTAAGTATATTGGAAAAACATTAATATAAATAACATATAAATAAATAAACATTACATATAAATAAATTTAATTGCAATTTGATTCTTTTTAAAAGATTTACTTTTTTTACTTCCAACTTTTTTAATATATTGCATCCCCTTTCTTTAATTTTGGAATGTTGCATATTTTTAATCATTTTATCAAAATATGCTATCAATTTCAAACTTTTGTTCATCGAATTTTTATTCATATTATTTAGAAATGCTTTTTTTTCAAATTAGGGACTAAAAATGTCATTAATACTACATTTAAAAATTCATGATCTAAAAGAATTAAATAATATTCTAATATAGTATTTGATTTTAATTAAAAAAAATTTTTTTTTTTTTANCCACCTTGGCAGAAACGTGCTAACCTTTGCTATAAAATTCCTTGATGAAGAAATTCAAACAAACAATATAAGTTTTTAACTATTTAAAAAATTTGATTCTGATGGCTTGGAACTTTTAATAATAATATTTGCATAATGAAAAGAGCATTATGAATTGAAATACTGTTTGTAAATATTTAAATTTGTATTAAAAATTTCCTTTTTTATTTTTCAGGTATGTGAATTACATTTCCATTCCCATGATGTGTAAAGAGAAACATTTATTTACGACAGTAAAACCGGGGAAAGATTGTCGACTAGATTGCGTTATCCTAGGTTGAAAGCTGAAGCTGTACCTGCTTTATTTCCTGGTTGTCCAACTTATCTATCAAGTGCACAGAACCATCGAGAAAATCCCGAGGATAATATTTTTAATCATTTTATCAAAATATGCTGCCTCAAATAGTTTAAAGACGGCCCTGAAACGAGGATAAAAAAAACTTATTCTCCTCGCAAGATGAATTTTTAAATTGCTTGAATTTTTTCAAACTCCCTCCTCATTGGACTTTAATCAAGAAAACTGATGTTACCATATTTGCTCATGTAGAGTATGCAGAAGTACCACAAATAAAATCTTCTGTGGTAACTGATAAAGAATTAAAAATGTCGGCATATTAAAATTAAAATTTTAAAATGTATGATAATTGAAATTTGATTTTTGGAAGTTAAACATTTTATCTTTACTTTTAATTAAATAGGTTATGTACAAAAAAATAAAATTTAAATTTGTAATAACTTTTTTTAAGTGTTTCACCCTATTTAAAATCAATACGAAATTAATTTGGTTATATAGTTATCTATCAATAAATTATGTTCACTAATAGAACAGTTAACTGCATTGTGGAATAAAGCTTCCATTCTATGACAAAAAACGACAATTTTAAATTATGTATGAAATAGATAAATTAGAATTTAAGAATATTAAGTAAATTATTTGATTTTCATTGTATTAATTTATTTGCCGTATTTTCGATTTGCTAATAAAATTGAGAGAATATTAATAAAATTTACAAAGTAAATAAATTACTATTTATTGAGTGATTATATATTAAATTTGTCAAAAAAAAAGTTTTAAAAAATCACATCGCGTTTCTTAAAATTTGTTAAAAATAACTATTTGTGATTCATTAGAAAAATAAATTGGAAATTGCATAAAATATTTCCATACAAAGTTTCAGTTAAAGGAAAAAATAATTTTTACAAAAAATATTAATTACGATCTTTTTTTAATATTATTAAATTGAAAGATGTTGTCTTTAACCATTTATGGAAATGTTTATTAAAATAATATTATAAGCTTGAAAATAACTTTTTCTCGCGAAAATCACATAATGGTAATATCTTTGCTCAACGAGAAATTCTTAAGTTAAGCGTACATATTCTCAGCCGCTGATGCAGAGAGGAAAAGCGACGGACTACTATTGATGACTCATTCTTCACGCGCTCAGGCCTTGTCTAGTTACAGAGGGTGCGCAAAAAATACAGAATTATAGAAATATTCTCTTATCGAGGAAAGAACAGCCTACGCGCCGGTTCCTCTTCATCTCCTCTATTCTTAAATCTTTAATTGGGTTAGTGATTAACTCGCCCTCTAGCGGTGAGCCAATCACTACAATAAATGTTAACTTATTAAATTTAATGTTTCTAGCATTCATTTTTATTTCATTTATTTCTTTTTATTTTTACGCATTCTCGGACCCACATACTTGTTTGATTATTGAACCTTCAATCATGCTCCGTTCGTAACGCTGTGTCGGTTACTGAAATTGTAGTTTTCGAGTATTTCAACTTGTATGTGGAGTAATTTAATCAAATCAAAAAACGTTAGCTAATAATTATAAAAATGCCTCAAATGTATGTTTGATTAAATTATACAAAGAAGATTTTTTTTAAAAAAAACTATAAAAAAAATTAGGTTTGGTACGTGAAAATCATAAAGATTATTCTTTCCAAACAAATTTTACTTTAATAGAATTCATTAATGGCAATAAAATCTGTGTTACTAAGATCAGACGTGGGAATAGAAAGGATATTTTTGTAAAATATGAACTTACAAAAAGTGGACTGTTTGTCGTTAACTGGTTTATAAATCCATGAACGATAATTGCAGTTTTATGATTTGGATTAAAATTGCACTTCCTGAAAGCTTCTTCTGTTGGCTGAAGGTCACAAGCATCCTGCGCATTCGATCGAGTAAAAAGCATGTACTTCAAGTTCGGATCTGCGCCACCAAAAACTGAATAGATCAGACGAGAAAAACCACCGCAAAAGCTGAATTTATCATCGCTGACTTGGCAAAAACCTGTTTAAAATAATATGAAGTTCAGAAATACAGTAATGATAATTGTCAAGCAGAAAACTGATAAAAACTTATTCTCTATTAATCAAGGTAAGTTCTACTTTTACCCCGTTCTCCGGGACTGCCACTTTGGAAGGTATTAAATGTCAATTTGTTTAGTCATAAAACATGTTTCATCATCGACAATCATGTTAGTGACGAAATATAACAAACAATTAAGCATCTAATTATCGTACGGTGCTAAGCATGCTTGTTCTCAGATCGAGATATTAACATCAACCGGTGGCGCTGTAGGCGCACCAAAAACAACATGCGCAGGAGAGCTATTGCGAGAATTCGCAACAATAGTTATATTCATTCACAAAAGAACTGTTCTACGTTGAACCACATGATTGGTACCATGGTACCTCAACCGTGATACTGTGCATTTTTTTATATCTGTAATAAAGTGATAAATTGAACCATGCTTCTGACAAGTTTAACCATAATATCGTGCAATCTTAAATTTAGATGGTTTAAATTGCATGATAATTAAGTTCATTTAAGTGATGTATAAAAGTTACAGATAACATGCTCCGAAGAGCCATTACATTATGACCATCCTGCTAATAACATGTAGGACCGCCTTTAGCCATTAAAACTGCTAGCACCCGCAGTGGCGTTGATTCCACAAGGTGCTGATGGGTAGTCTGAGGTATCTGGTACCAAGCGCTCATCAACTGGTCCTGCAATTCCCTCACATTGCGAGGGGGTAGCGTGACAGAAAAAATTTGGTTTTCCAAGTAGGACCACAAATGCTGTATTGGATTAAGATCAGGTGAATTTGGGAGCCAAGACATGACTTGAAAGTCACTGAAATGTTCCTCGAACCAATCCATGACGATTCGACCCTTATGACGTGGTGTATTATACTGTTGGTAAACACCATCCCCCGCAGGAAAAACTGCTGCCATGAATGGGTGAATCTGGTCTGCAAATATGCTCAAGTAGCTTACAGACGTCAGGGATTGTTCTAAGAGGATTATGTGTCCTAATGTGCCCCATGAAAACATTGTTCTTGGGCGAGAAACCATGAAAACCTGGGCGAGCCCATTGTTATTGATGGAGGGTGGTCATAATGTAATGACTCTTCAGTGTATATCCTCTTTTGTGATTTAGTGTGTCTAAAATATCTAAAAATATGTAAATATGTATATACAAAATATCTAAAATTTTAATAATATGCAGTAATTACTACATCCAAGAAACAAAGTTTAGCTGTTGTTCGGTCTTAAACTATCAAATAAAGTTCATTGTTGTTGGAAAAGATAAAATAAATATACTAATTATTAAACTTTTGAAAAGTGAAGAAATTTCTGCAAGATTTTTAATTTTTTCCCCTTATTCTTTGAAAAAAACATTGATCGCCATGTAACCTGCAGAAATATATCTTAAGT